AAATTGTTATATTTTAATTGCATTTTTATATGATACACATCTAGTATTTAGGACCTCTATGTAAACCACTATTGTGATGGAGCTTCCTAACAAAAGATTGTTATTATTATTATTATTATTATTATTATTATTATTATTATCAAGAATGACTTGTTTATTTCGAGAGCCGGGAAAGAAAACCAACCATGTTTGTAGCACAGTGTACCTCTGAGGCTCGTTTCATTTTTCTTTGTTTTAAGTGTCTTCTGCCGCTTTTTGCGACTCCGTTGCCGGCATTGTTCAAAAATTACGAACTTTATAAGTCCGCTCCATGCACTTTTTGTCTTGCACGAGATCAAAGCGAGCCCATCCGTGCCCACGGGATTCGCTTCGTCTTGCCCACGGGCGCTGCGAGCTATATGATAAACACTAATAAACACTGATAAAGAAACTCGAAGAGGAAACGAGACCTTGAGTTGCGTTAAATGACAAATAACCTACCTTAAGGGAAAAGCGAGAAGCACCTTTCCTTTCTCTGTATTCTGTGCTGTTCCTGTATTTATCAGAAGACATTAACTCGCACCAGACTTTCTCGTCGGCTTCTCCTGAAGCAGCCAAGTTGATAGAAAAGCACAACGGGTTGCTGATGCATTTGAAGGTGCAGTCCAAGACGTCAAACACAGTGGATCTTCCTACTAAAGACACATTCAGATAATGGATGCGTCTTTTACAAAAACGTGTAGTGGAGCAGCTGGCGATCAATCCTCTCGATACAAAATGATTGAAGCTAAGTTAAAAATAACACATTGGTATCAATCGTATGTGACCGAAAAAATATCAACAGTAGTTTCTCACACGCATTTGACAAGACCCGCCATTTCAAGACATACAGCGGTTTGCGCTGAACTGCTCTATGGATATATTAATTTAGTTAACCATTTTAAATGCCGCGCAATGAAATATAATTGAACTTGATGCAAGGCGGCACAAAATCCAAAATAAAGTGATAACGAAAAGTTCGCCAACTAAAAAATCCGAATTGTACCCAATGACCACAACCGAACTTTTCAGTCGCAAGTTGAATACAAGTTATGAACGGTTCACAAGGAAAAATCCCATCTCATCGAGCACACGGAAAAAGTAGCAAGTAAGGTTCAAAGGGAAGTGACAAGTACACTCACAAAGGAGTCGGGAGATGACAAAAATATTGTTAACGCATTTTTGGGATCACGCTAGACCAGCCAACTGTTCCTTAACGGTTTAATGAAACATTTTATCTGAGCAGATATAAAGAATAAGATGGGGGAAATTATAGTAGACTGTGACATTGCGAAAGAATATCTTAAAAAATTGAAATAAATTGTTGAAAACATCCCTTCCGCTCTATTTGGAAGGGAAAATGTAAACTTCCAAATCACTTCCTTAGCTTTTATTTTCCACTAACAGTGGTATTGCTGATACTCGGTGCGTAATGAGTTTTTTATCGTGTTACGCACAATGTAGAATGAACTGATAGCAAAAATTTAATTTAATCCCTCGCTTAGAATGTGTTGTTTTTTAATTTTAACAATAGACATTTATTACTGAGATCTAGTGTTGGAGTACTATTTTTGTTCAGTAATCTTTCAAAGTAATTTGTGTTTCTAAAAGAAAGCGATGGGTGTCAACTTTGATATGGCTATCGAGGGAGTCCTGCTTTTCTAGGTCTCAGGGGGATTCGTAATAGACACTCTCTTTATTTTTCTTTCATTCAGTAGTAATAAAAAGAGTAAATAATCATGAACCTTACAAAAGACTAAAGTCTGAAGAGAAAAGTACGATTTTAGTAGTTCCGTCTGCTAAAGGTACACGGTTCCTAAAGGGCTTGACGTAGATACACACTACGCACCAAAAGCTGACATATCCCTCACACTGGATCATCTGTGTAACAATTTAACTCTAATACCAGGGAGCTCTGTAGCGAGAAAAATTTGTGAAAGCACCTGCTGTTAACTACTCGGTTTTGTAAAAACAAAGTTCTTTATTCGCGCACACACTAATCCAAGTAATAATAATGTAGAGCCAAAATTCGCGAGTTTTATTCCTGCAAGCATTTTGCATATATTACGGTCACACTACAATATACACTAATTAGCAACGATGCTATTGTGATAAAACGTAAATGGCGGCGTGAATTTCTGATTATGCAACACCTGCAAACCCACGCTTATCGCCCTCTGGCTATTTACAATGTTGAAATTTCAATTAAAATTTCACTCAGTTTGAAATTTAGCATTTCGAGTGGTTATGGATTACCACGCATTTATCATCCTTTGCTAATTACACTGAGGCCATACCTAAGGTTTCACGGCAGGATGAGGAGATAGAAAATTGAAATGCGAAGACGACTGTTGAAGGGTATATTCAGTATAGAGGAATTTACCTCTACACTATGCAAGCTTTTTAAATTTAGTCGGTTCTTCAAAGTACGACTGGAGCTCCAACGTCAGCCGAAGTCGAAAATGGGTACTGACAACCTCTATACACGCCAAAACATTCAATTGTTAAGAGAGGGGCTCGAATGGGGTTGAATGAAAACTAACAGGAGAATATTTACATTCACCTATAGATTTAGTTTTACTGGCACCAAAAACATTTCTTACTCACCTTTCAGCGGTGTTTACTGCCCAGAACCTACGACACATTCTTGCGTTTTATAGCTACTGACACACGTTAGAAAATAGTCACTTCTAGAGCTCTATGTAGTATGAGGCCCTATCCATAAAGTAGCCATGACAGTTAACGATAGCTGCCGGTGGAATTCACGAACAATGTAGAACTAAAAGCCGCTTGTAAAAAAAAGACTGTTTAATGCATCAAGATGCGTAACATTCGAGTTGCTGAGTCGCAGTTTATTAAAAGCAAGAGATCTCCTTGCATTATCTAGAGACTGTTCTAGTGTTTAGAGAAGAGAGCGTGCGCTGAGTTAAAAGATCGATTACTTCAAATTCTGATTTTAGTATCATTTTTACAAGAGAGGTTTTTAAGTAGACATCGTTTGCCAAGCAACGGGGTGTTTAAATCTCTGAAACGATATGTTGTTTACATTATTGCGGACGATATACGTTTTTATATCATACATACTGCGATTTTCAGTGAAGAGCTATCGTTCGTGTCTCTGATTGGAAGAACGATATATTTTCAGTCGTTTTATTCCAATCTTTGAAATGTGTCAGTCAGTAAGAAAAAAAAAAATCGGTATGTATAACACAAAAATATCATACCAGAAAAAGTGCTTGAACGAATTCTATTCACTCTTTGCGATGCCTCGTGAATTATCATATGACAGTTATCAGTCACAGGCGTGAAGGCTAAATCGTGTAGTTGGTGACTAACCACGTTTCTAAATCATGAAATTAAAACCTGGGCATCAGCAGTCGAGGCGAATCAGTGCATGATGGGTCACTATCTGTACTAAACTCCACTATGTCATGCTAGGCTGCGTATGGTCTGTCGGGGAATCATGGAGCTCTTACTTGAGGTCTACCCCAAGAGACTCACATTGACTGCTTAATCATCCATTGATTTATCCTTTAATAACATCGAGTTTTTAAAACTTGCAAGGGTAAGAAGGATGATGGGCACCTCGGTTAGAGGAATAACTACAAGAACAGCTGACCGCGAAATTGCACGGTCATTTCAGTCTCGTGTATTACTCTTATGTCGCTATTTACAAAAGACTGTGTGTGACACGTTTTCGCGGCATAACAACATACACGTGCAAATTTGAGCAAGTTCATTGACTGATTGCGTGTCGTATAGCCTCAAACTGAGAAGAAAGTTGAAATTGTACGCAGTTAGCTACAATAATGTAGAAACTTTCAGTGATTTCTCTTTCACTTTGTAAGAGGTTAGCACAGGTGATTTTTTTAAATATTGAAATATACCACGTTGTCGAGATACTTTATGTATTTTGAATTACACTCAAAGTTATTTGGTTAGGATGCAAATAGCTCGTCGAAGTTTCAAAACCCTCAGTATTTCGTCTCTTGACGTGACTGTGAAAGCTGTAGCAATACCTTCCTCGTTTGAACTTAACGTAGAAAAAGATGCATTAGTTATAAAGCGTGTTTTTCAGTCCGAGTATCGCGAATACTGTGCGAAGGGCTGTGGCCATATCCCCGAGAATTTGTAAGAGCAGTGAATCAAAGTCGAACGCATCTTGAATCTTCCTTAACGTCACTAACCTAAAAATAAAAAATTTACTGCACAAATATGTATCCCATGGTGCTTATGGCTTTCTCACCATTACCTGGGGCGGCTCATGCATAGTTACCACATGTTAAGGTTTTACCGTGAAACGGTTCTGTACCAAACCCAATCCAGGAATCAGTGCTACGGCAATTGTTTTCGTTGTTACCTATGATACCGATTCTTGCCCTCGCATGATTACTATCTGTGCTCATAACATTAAATCCTTCCTTGTTACAGTTCAGTTGAAGATATGCATTGGGACCAATCAGGGTCTTCCACGTGTCACGTCCCAGTGAAGTACTGCTGTAGTTCCCTCCGGCTATCAGTGAGTATAGAGACTCGGCCTGTTTGTTCACGACGACAAATCTCTTGTTCTGGCCGATCCTCATACCGAGGCAGACTTTTCTGAAAGGCGTATTCCAGTAGGTCGGTAACTTAGTCTGTTGTGAATCGAACCCAATCTTTCCTCCATCTTGATTGAAGCCCCTCTTATCGGTCCAATACTCTGCGTTATAATGGAAGGTTTCCTGCCGAGGGATTTACAAAACAAATGCATGCTCGTCTTTTACTTGGTTGGTCTTTGATCTTTAATCTTGGAGGTAAACCCTTGTAAACACTAATGATCAGACAGATGCAATCATATAGATATTAAGCACGCTGTTATCGAGTACTTTTATTACTATTCGGGAGAAATGTGAGGGATCGGAAACCGTGACATGGCAGTATATCATGAAGCTTCTGTTAGTTATATATGAATTAACCCTGCCCTAATCAAGTGCGCTTGTTTCTTTCTCAAAAATATCACTTTTAGCTCGCTGTTTAACCTTTAGCCTTTGTCATTTATCCACTCTTACCCGCCTGAGGGCCCCCATAAAAAAGAAAAGAGCCTAAGTTCTATCTCCCTCTTGATGCGGCTTTGTCTTCTCATTTTGGCAAAGAATACAGATGATTTTAGTATAAATACCCATGAATGTCTTTTTTTTTAGTCCTTAGAATTACAAACAAACCAAACGCACTCAGTCCTCTTATGAGAAGTAACTGACTTCGTGTATTACCTCTGGTGCAAAAGTAGACATTTTAGGGCTTCTTTAGTGCACGTTTAATTAAATTAAATAGAATACCATTTCTCCATAAATCTTCATGACTGGTGTCCAGCCCCCATCTCCACATCCAAAATCTCCCATTTCACAATGAACGGAAATCTGTTCGGAACCAATAATGAGAGGGACGAGCTGACTAGACCTTGTCCTGATCAGATTAAAAAATCACGAAAAAGGTTCGTAACTGTTGCTGACGGAAAATTTGTCGAGAATCTGCCCGCCATTGGTACTTTTTTAAATGAAAACGTTACTCTGGTCTGAAATGTACATAAACTTCGGCTATTACCAGGGGGAGGTGATAACAGTGTTAATAACGAGCGAAATATATAGAAAAATGAAGCTCCGCTGACTATTGTTAGAAATCATGACAATATAAAATGAAAAGGCATAGGAGACTTTCTCGTTTCATCATGATATTGCGCAGATCATCAGCACTTAATAAACATACCAGGTTAGAAGAGAGAGGACCCCTTACTTCGGCTGAAATGATATTGTAGAATTTAATATCAGCGTAAATGTCCTCATATTCATTTAGTTTTATTAACGAGGTCACAAGGAAGGTTTATGATTGGATTGGTCTTTTTTATCAGTAATTATAAGTCCCCCCTCAGAGTAGGAGCGATGTTAGCGGTTTCAAAATGTCCCATTGTCAGCACTTACATGTTTCGGTTATACACATCTTTGCATGACTCTGCAACTGTGAGAAATATAAGTCAGAATTTACATCTAGCCTTCTCTAATTGAATCGAGAGAGAACACACAAGATTCAAGAGGAGAAAACCTTGTCAGGTAGTTTCATACGCAATCTGAGTAGTAAGACAATGATTTCGTTTATTAATATTTTGAGTTTTCAATTCAAAGACTTCCAAATGATGATTTTTATTCACCTTTTTCGCAGTATTTTCCAAAGAATCCCTCTTTACAGCGGCAGTCGAAGGTGTCATATCTGTAGGTACTCACACAGGTACCGTCGTTTTCACAAGGCGAAGAAGTACAAGAAGACTGTAAATAGACGGAGAAATGCGTAACGCTTTCAGTCGAGGGAAAGCATTTCACCAGATAAGAGAGCAGGCAGTTCACTAAAGGTGCGAGGAAAATGAATCCTTGACGGTCGGGCCGGCAAGAAAGGGATCGACAAACCAGATGGGCTATTTTGAAATCTATTCTCAGTCCCAACAGGAGCCCATAGGCTCCTGGTCCCAAAGTATCTGATCTGTCAGGAAAGAAAGGCATACCTAGTTCGTAAACTACTTAGATCTCCAAATTTCGTAAAATAAACACGAGTCCCATTCACACGCGTTGAAATCGTGTGATCTAAAAATAATGTAGTGGGATATAACGTAAGGACAAGGGTGCATGGACATGTGGAGTCTGTGAGCTCGATCTTCGTTGGACTGGACTTTACTTTTAGACGTGAAGGAAACGAATTCGAGACCTTGAAACACTTTACCTCAATAGAGAAGTGATGAGCATTTCTATGTACCGCATACATTGCTTTGTCTTTGTGTTTATCAGAAGACAGTAACTCGCACAAAATTTCCCCATCGGCTCCTTTGGAAGCGGCCACGTTCACGGAAAAACATAAAAGATTGCTGAGACATTCAAGGGTGCAGTCAAGGAGGTCATACACTGCGAATGTCCTAATCGCAGTCACATTCAGATAGTGGAAGGCGTGGTTTAGAAACGCATGTTGTCTAACAGTTTGCCATGAATCCCCTCGATACAAAGTCGATCCTGTATGGAAAAAAGCTACGAAGCTTAATATGACTTTGAGGTAGCATCGTTACTGCACGCACTCAGTCAATTAAAGTATGATGTGTGGCTCTAAGGAAATCAGTCGATTTATTAAGATAGATGAAGTGCGAGTTTGTGCAGTGTGTTTCTCAGACAACTCGCTGTTGTTAAAAATAAAGTTCGGATAGGATGGATACAAAGTCAGCTGTTACCAGATGCTATCACTGGGATGGCTAAATGGTAAGAAGAGACGATAACAAGAACTGGAATGATATACTGTCAGAAATCATAGTCGTAAATCACCCTAAAAAGAAAATGGCGTTTAGGAGTGTTTGTACCAGGAGTATTCACTTCGATTTTTGACCTTGGCGTTTAGACTCAATTGTGCTTGTCTTCCTCAGGCAAGGAGGTGGACTGGGTACCTAGTGTGTTCTGCTGCGATGGTTGCTTTTGAACAGCTGTAAAACGCATTTCGTTCGTCATTCTAACAGTTTTTTTCTAACAATGCTCCCTTCTTTTGTAACGGCACCATGCCCGCTTTTCAGTTTTTTTTTCTTTTTTGTGAGGGATATCGCAATAAATTATTAATAGATAACGAGATATTTATCAAGGAACAGTATTTTCTGAAAGTGATAGTTACGTAACGTTCAGTTCTGATTTTTTCCTTTTCCTCGAGGCCGTTTGAAGCCTTTTCTGAATAAAAAATAATGCTTAAAGAAGGGTTGTTTGATCGATATAAGGGAATCCCGTCGTGCAATTTGGGTCTTGAGAATTTGTCTTGAAATTGTAGCTTTGTCTGTGTGTTTGTTTTGTCGTGGTTTTTGCGCTGAGTTGAATTTAGAATCCGCTTTAGCTGTTTATATTCCCAAACACAAAGTGGATTAGTAATAGTTTTATCGAGTTAGCAAAATGGTAACAGCTTTGAAAAAAATTTGTTCTTGGTGCACTAATTGCCCTAAAACAATGCAAAATGAAAAGTTGAGAAGATGGCTTACATGCGCAATAAATTTTTTAAAGTGTTCGTAAGACCGTAAGTCACTCACCTTTAGAAACGGCTGCGTTGGAAGTAGAAGCAGGCGACAGAAATGCAGTGAAGAAGAACAAAACATTGAACATTGTGAAATCCCATCCGTTCTTCAAAGGTGTATCAAACTTTGTTCTGAGTCAAAGGTTTCCAGCGTTGTTTATTAACTTTTTTGTGATCGCTCCACTTAAAGTAGTGTTAGCCAATGAATGTTAAACAATTCCAGTTTTTGTCATCAAACATTAATCAAAAGGCGAACTGTTCGTTTTGAATTATTAAACACTCAAAGTGTTTGAAGTTGAAAAAAAATTCATATTAAAAATCGCATAGAAACCACAAGGTTTAGATGTGCAAAAAGTTACCAAACGTTTATTTGGAAAAAAAATGCACATTGTTCAATTCATTTTTTAGCGTTCGGTATGTAAATATAAAAGTCTGATAAAGACCTTTGCTTGCCTTGATGTGACTTGCTACACTATTCGCTCCACTCTTGTTTTTAGGTTATCTCAGCGTTGTGCATTATTGATGACTATATGCATTCACTGCTGCATCAACAAAATGTTTAGTAGCACATTACTAAGAATGTGAAAAATACTACGTTTTTCAAAACTATAGACCATACTAACGTAATTCTACGAAGAATACTCTCATGATCATGAAAAGAACATACACAACATCGAGAGATTATACAACGAGTTTATCATCTCTTGACCACTTCTAATATATTGTAAGGAATTCTTGGTATAATTAACAATTACTCGCCTAAGTTCACTATGACTTGTTTTTTTTTTTTACGAGCAAGTAACTAAAACAATTTATTAATCACAAATTAACATAACCAAAATCTAATGCTTTGAAGTTCAAAAGAATATTGAAAAAAAAAAAGCCTATATCAAACCGATATTTGCATCTCTTTTCTACGAGAAATGCCTTGTTAAGAGACGAACCAACACAGGGGTACTTCAGACTGTTACTTATCCCAAGTGAGGGAATTCCTTTGTTTAACACTTCAACTTTATTTTTTTTTCTGAAAGAGAACATATTTCATCTCTGTTAACGTCGCCAAAACGAATTATATTCTCTTTCGATTAAAGCAAAAACCCTCTACTATCAATTATATAATTACACTAAAAAGATATTGTCATTCAGCAGATAGAAGTAACGTAGTTTCTACGAGTTTATAAGATCAGCATCTTTCATGAAGCCATGTTACTCGAAATATCAAAATATATCGGAAATGTCAGCAAATCTCGTTTCTTTCTTCCTTTCTTTCTTTCTTTCTTTCTTTCTTTCTTTCTTTGTTTCCCTCATCAAATGTGTTATTTGTTATCCTTTTACTATATTTTACTGCACCCGCATCTCAGCTATTGTAACACGGTATGGTGCTGAACTTCTCCCAGTAACTTAAACAGACTTATACTCCCGAGGGAATAGCATTCTGACCATAAGGGAATGGTAGTATTCGTAGTTGCTTCATTTGCGACAAAACGCATTTTATCCTAAGATGAAAATGTTACAAATTTCCCTCACCTCTTTCGCAATATTTTCCTACGTAGCCTTCATTGCAGAGAGAGACACTTAAAGGAACCGTAGTTGTAATTCTGGCGTCACACAGGTGACTTGATTTTGACATGGCGAGGAAGAACAAGGGGACTGAAGAGAGGAAATATGTACTTCAGTCATGAAAGGTCAAGCAAAATAAACAGATAAGTAAATCTGAACAGAAATTGAAACATTTTGTTATGTTAAATGACAAATAATCTACCTCCAGGGAGAAATGATGAGCATTTTTCTTCCTGTGTATTCTGTGCTGTCCCTGTATTTATCAGGCAGGGGGGGATCCAAAAATTTTGATGGGGGGGTCCAAACTTTGGTTCAGAAAGGACTGTTGGACTCTATTGAGGCAAATTACTTCTCCCCACACCCTCCACATCCCCCACACCCCCTCCCACCAGTCGCGGCTGCACGTTATAATTCCTTGGCCGCTTACCGTTTACTTGGATTCATTAATTAAAAAAAATCAACCAGTTAAAAAGTGATATACGATCCTGCGGATGTAAGAATTTCAATCTCAAATTTGTAAGCGTCAGGTCTGATAGGGGGGTCCGCACCCCCCGGACCCTCCCCCTGGATCCGCCACTGTCAGGAGACAGTCTGACTGCAGTAATCGTAACCTCACAACACCACGATGATAAAGACGATTTATTCGGTACGAATTATGTTGACGGTGTATGGGTTGAAACTTAAAACAATAAATAAATACGAAATTACAACAATAGTCCATTTCCCATTTTACAGTTGTGTGCTTGGTTGCCAAGCCTTTGAATGGGAGTGAGGCTAGGTTGACCTTGTTATGATACAAACCTTGCTGCCTTTCAAATGTTTAATCACTTCGTTATTATGCTAAGTAGATACAGGTCTCTATCACAACAAGATCACCTTCAGCCTCACTCTGAATCAAAGGCTTGGCAACTAAGTACACAACTGTAAAATGGCCTATTGACTAGTAAAAGTGACAGGAAAGAAATACACTGAACGAACTGAACAAACTTGTAATGACAATACTCACACTGTTACGATTTCTACGAAACTGCTGGACGAGTATAAACTGCCCAAATGGTTAAACTTTCTAGTCTTCTCGCATGTTTCAGCCACGAATCATGCCGAACATTCCAGGGCCACGACAACTTGTCCCGCAGCATCAATTTTCCCCAGTCTTCTTTTCATCACCGCCCAATCCCGTAACACCGCAAACCTTTGCTGGCCTTGCACCTCTGCCCTCCCAAAAACCTTTACGTCAGCTATCACCTCAATCTCAGCCTTGTACATTAAGCACAAGAAGTCAAGATCCACCAAAAAGGGAGGGTCCTCAGTCTGCTCAGCAAAGAAAAAGTGGAACTCTGAACAGTTCGGCAGTGCCTTTCATTCCATTGCAGGCGAGTTATTTCTTTGACGTCATACCGTATAGAGGTGTAATTTAGGAAATAACTCAGTAGTGAAAACGTCTCCGTCTATGAAATCTCGTGCCACTTCGCGATATCCTTCGTTAACAAATGGTAAACACCACAGCGTACACTATTGAGTTATGGATGCACGCGGGAGGTTGCTAAGCACGAAAGAAGCGTAAGAGTCGCTCGAGGCGATAGCCGAGAGCGACTCTAGCTTCTTGAGTGCTTAGCAAACCTCCCAAGTGCATCCATAACTCAATAGTGTACGCTGTGGTGTTTACCATTTGTTTTATAACATAACATTGATACATTGTAGCTAAAGAGTTCCCTTTTATTTAACAAATCTTACGCGACAAGAAAAAACAAGCGCGCGCGGCAAAATAGTCTTTGCATTTGCTCACGTCAGCAGCGTACACCCACGGGCAAATGGGGGCCGCTAAATTGACCAATCAGAGCGCGCGCTTTACTTTGATTATGTTATAATGAGATCTGGAAAAATCTAATCGTTTACTGATTCTTTGCTAAGAATCATCTCCTTAGCTTTATTAAGTTCCTGAATTTTCATTATACCACGTACAAGACCTGATCTTAACCAATCAAGCGTTGTTGACTGTTTTGATACTTGGCCAGGAGTTCATTTTTAATCGGTTTATGCATTATTGAGAAGGACAAGGAGGTAAGGTATAATATATTTCTTCATTCAGTTTGTCAAGTTTCTTGTTGAATTGTAAGCAATTTTAAATAAGAAGTTAATAAGTGAGATCGCTTGGTGTAGCAGTTTCATTTCTTTTAGTTTTATGCGAAGTTATGAAAACCCTTTTGCTCCCTTTTCTTCCTTTCAGAGCGTTGTGTGTACCGAAAAGAAGTCGACTGTTGTTTGATATGATTTCATCGCCTATGATCGAATTACGCTTTTTGTAGCTCAGAGGGCCTTTTCATGAAACACTATAGTGCTATTTCTCTCCCGTTAAAAAGTCGTGAGAATGGTAAATAATGATTTATCTGCTAAGAGACTCTTGTCTAAAGAGAAACGTGAAATTTTTGTCATGCCGTCTAAAAAAGGTTCCTAGAGGACTTGACTTTCTCACAAACTAAGAAGTATAAGCTGGAATATCCCTCACACTTGATCATCTGTAGAACCACCGAATTCTCCTACATGGGAACTATGTTGCGAGAAAATTTGTGAACGGACCTACCAACCTACTCTCACCGTCCTCTGGCTGTCTACAGTGGTCACATTGAAACAAGAATTTCCTTCTGTTTAAAATTTCTAGGTCGTTATACAAGGACTTACTGACAAACTCCCAACATACTTCTCGGATATGAATGTGGTATGTCATACTGTTTATATGATGAAGTAAATAAAGATGGTGAATGTTAAGAGTGGAGATTTAGGAGAAAGATGATAATCGCGCAGAATGCCGCGACACATCCAGGTACATTTTTTTAAGTCCTTCGGCGGAACGGTTCTCCAAGAAAAGAGAGCAAAACAGTGAGAAAATGGCTATAAATCGCCAAGTCGCGCCTACGTTTTTCACTCTTAATCAAAAGTAGCTGTCGTAGCTATTTGCGGGTGTATGCATTTTGTAGAAGAGGATTCAATTAGCAATTTTTTTCCTTAAGTGTGTTTTCTATATTTTCTACAAACATTGTCAAAACTGCTTTGAATGATGGCAATTTTAGATGCTCTTCAGTATGGAAGCTGACCTTCAGGTTGAAAAATCCGATGAATTATTCGCGAACCTTCCCAGTCAGCATATGAAAAAGTTACCCCTATGTTTTAGGAGGGCTTATGAAAAGTTCCGCTGCCGTACATAGCTTAGGAGTACTAATGAAACCGATTTTTCTCGAAGCAATCTCTGGCCACCCTAAATTTTACGTCGAGAAGCATAATTGACAGATTTTTAAAACTCCCGCCAGTGTAATAATGTATGCAAAACCTCGCCTCCGTAAACAATATTAAAATTGCTAATTTCCCTAACAATACCGTTAAATGAATGAGATATGCTTCCTGGGAAAAAAAAGCTCCAAGTGTCTCCAAATTGGAGTTGAACGGACCGCTTTTAAGCTTAACGTAACGCATCGTTTCCTTTTTGTATCTGTTGCGTAGCACCTTGCGAGAACAGTGAGAGATTTAGTAATGCTTCACATAGGACAACAAATGACTTATTGCTGTTATGGTTTCTGTGAAGTTTACCGTGCGTGACAGGCTCCATAAAGAAAGCGATCATCGCGTAACACAAATATGAGATATGAGAAGAATGCGTAACCAGTGATGTGGCGTAACCACAACGATAATATATGGGTTATTAACCAAGCGTTACGGAGGTCAAGATGGTCGGATATTGGCCGAGTTCTTTTTTCGCACCTTTATGAACCAAGACGAAGTCCAGGTCCATTAAAAGACGAAGAAAGAACGAGGCTGACATTCAGCTATCTTGACCGCACAAGCCTGGTTAATAAAGGATCTATTATAACGCAAAAAGATTTCGCTTCAATGAGAATTAGGAATGACCTGTTTACTTCGAGAGCCTCGAAAAAAGGCCAACTGTGTTTGTAGCACAACAAACTCACGAGAATCGTTTCTGTTTTCTTTGTTTTGAATATCTTCTGCCACTTTTTGCGTTTACATCGCCGAAGATGTCCAAGAATTACAAACGTAGTTCTAATTATATTTTTTACCATGCGTGGGGTCAATGTGGGCAAACCCGAGCGGGCAAGATAGGCCCAGTCTTCTGGCGTGCATAAAATCTATTGCAAAAACGTTGAGACCCAAACAGCTTGATTCATGAATAATGAGACCCTTTGGCTTCATAGATTATACCCGCTCAGAAACATAATCAGTGTTAAGTTGTTCATTCTCCATGGGAAACCTTTGTTTATGATAACTCTTCTCTTTCAGGAAAGCTTAGATGCCTTCTTTCCTTCATCTCGTGCAGCTATTGTGGTCATTATGTACATGTGTGCCCATAAAGCCATTGTTTCTCATCGTTCACTGCTAACGCTTTTTAGGAGTCAACCTTTTTGCAATCGAGTGTAATTCAGCATATTTCTTGTATAAGGAACTACTGTCAGCAAAATTTAAAACGAAGAAAAGAGAAGGGCGGTTGGCTAATGAAACAGTTCTGTAGCTGAAAAGTGAAGAAAGAAAATGAGCCCCCCCAAAAAAAAATTAAATAAAATAGAATTAAAAAACCAAAACAAAAACCGATTTGGAAGTTTCCAGACACTTTTTGACATCTTGGCTGCTTGGCAACGGTGATTACATGCATGGTAAAGTGATGTTGGAAAAAGTGTCTTAATTTCAGTTCTTATTTAGGGTTTGGAGATTCGACAGAAGTAGAAATGAATAACCGTTTGTGATAAGAGCGGAGGGAACTTCTGTCATTATTTTTTCCAATGATAAAATTTTGCGTAACCCAAGCAACACATTAACATTGATGAGATGTTGAAAATATTTTTCGAAACAATTTAAATTGATATTATTCGTTTCCGTCATTCAAATGACTGAATGAATATGATCATCCTATTGTTTGAATTAAGCAGACTGCTGGCGATTAAAACATACAAAGTAAATTGTACTAGATGATGATAGAGGCGTTGAAAGATTCGGTGGAAGGAGACCAGTGGGTATGTTAGTAGGAGCGAATGATGAAGTACTTACGTAGCTAAAACTAGAAATGATAGAGTCTATATGATATACTTTAGGTAGCTGGATGTCGTCTGTCCTCTAAATTTAAAAACAATTGACCAATATAATAGTTGGGAGAGCGATTGACATTCGCTTTTGGACCAAAGTTCTATATCTGCTTTTGATGCATTCTATCTTTGTTTAAACTCAGTTTTTAACCAGACCGTTTGCGAAAGCTTTGATTTTAATTAGCAGGAAGTTTCTCAAAAATTACATAACATGAATGATGAAACGTCCTTAAAAGCCTTTGAGATCGGAAGGCTAGCGCACAAACGAATACAGTCGTGGTCTTTTCTTGATGATTTCAGGGAATATTTTTTTTTCGACTGGTGGTAAAACGAAAATACTTCGTCTTGTCAATAATTGGTGTGGTTTGTGTGGTATCTTTGTTTCTTAGTTAACCCAGAACCTCTGTCTTAGAGAATGAAAATACTGCAGAACGGGGGGTTTTCGTGAAGAGGAACTCTTCTGTAATTAACATTTTCCGAGGTGTCAGGATGACAAAGCAAGTTAGGATCTCAGTTTGGCATGCAGATGTTAAAATTCTTATTGACATTTCCTTGGGAGGAAAACTAAACAATTAGAATGACCATATCTACATAGACTCGTAACAGGAAAAATATTGACCCTCCGTTCCGTCGCTGTGTTTAGCACATTCGGGGAAAGTAAAAACAGAATAGTTTGGATCATAGTCCATTGTAATATTCCCAGCTTGTGAGCTTTCGATACCCTGAAAAGGACAACTTGGTTTAAAACTTGAAGTATTATTTTATATTGACCTAAGAGGTTTGACATCATTTGTTGACAGTTTCTCGAAGAAAAGTCTATTCAAACCGTCGTCTTGTCTCGTAACGTAACATGTTTCTTGTCGAGGCCAAGAGACAGCTGTACAGAAGAATTAAAGGAGAGTTCGTTGCTTAACTAATTCGGTTTTAAGCGGTGAATTGATCATGCGTGAAACCTAACAATAACTACGTCGTCTAAATCCTCTCAGGTCACCCAGGGACCTCTCAATCGTTTTCAACTTTTCCAGGCGCTATTAGTAGCTTTCTTTTGGATACTTAGTGGCTCGTGCTTTACATGTGATGTGGTGACTTTGTTAATGAATGTAATAAAAAATGACGATCGTGAACCCGAAAAACAGATCAGACAGACGCAGTAACTGATGAAAATAAAGTTCTTGCAAGAGCTTAGAAACTCCATTGAAGTGAGCCAAGAAAAGGATGATAAGCCTCCCACACCAGAAACGCTCCTTTTAGCTTTTGTAGAGTTCGTAAGAGCCATACCATCTGTTGACCTCTTGTAGATCCTTACGATAACTAACTAAATAATTGAGCAAACGAGAGCCAGAACTCGTTTCTTACTGAACTACCCGTAGTGCACTTCGGGCTCACAAGGTCTCCGCTCAAGCAGAGACGAGTAATTAAATTATAGCTATCTGATTTTGTTTTTCTTAATTTCTATATTTGATGAGGATGAAAGACGTTTAAAGCGATGAATTACTTGTTGCAAGGCTTTGATGAGAGTGAAGTACCGCGAAAATTTATGACGCACGACCAGGCGTGCAACATGCTTTACCCACTGGACCGAATACGTGGGAAGGAAGATTTGCTCTGGTTGTTAAGGCTACATTTTCTTTGTTGTTTTTCGAGCAAATTCGAAACGGACTTTTACATATGAATATGGCATAATGGCTATGATAACCGATTTGCCTTCTGGAGTCGAAATTTGCTCTCAACAAACCTCGGCGACTTCATCAGTATTTCAAGTTCTATAATTCTTACGCAGTTACAATCCTATAAAGCTTGACATGCAAAAGGTAAGGTATCCAATGACTTATTCAACCGCCTGTTTCTATCACAGACCCCTTATTCTGTGTACATGGTTTGTGCCGGTATAAATGATGTTTGTTTAAAGGAGTTGGCTTCGTTAAAATGTTATTCAGCTAAAGGTTAGATATACTTTTCATGTGTCGCTTTGTAATATTGGTTTTTATTCGTCTGCTTCACATTTTAAATCTTACACTTCTAGTCCTTCTTTTGAAGGGCATTTCGCTAATGCAAAGGCAAAATATAACAATTACATCCTCAGGAATGACAAAGGCTTTGATAAAACCTCGTGTCTAGTTCCTCCTTGATCTCAGTTTGCATTCTACAACTAAAATTTTTTGTTGCTTGTACAACATTTCGTGAATTAAGTGCATTCAGAAGTTCGCTTTTTGAAAAACCCGGAATGACTTCGGGTAATTCATAAGAACAAATAAAATAAATAAGTTTTATGGAGAAGTTTGAGAGTAGTTTAATGTGCAAAGAGGAAATATCTTCTAATAGCACGAATGTTTTTTGCCGTTACTTAGTATTTTGTCACTAATTACAATTTTTTTATGATATTGCACTAAGTGTCGGACATGCCGAAAAATGATCAAAACGAAAACACAAATGATCAAAACGAAAACACAAATGGAAGCAACGTACTCGAGAATTTTGAGTTCATAATTATCACAGGAGATAAGGGGGGGGGGGGAGGTGTAGGTGAAAGGTTGTAAGTTTGTAATCCACTGAATTGCAAACCATGTTTTTTTTTTCAATTAAAAATGAATCATGCTGCAAGACAGTTTTCTGTGGTCTATAATCTCTGTATTTTCTGCACACTTAATTCATTCCTACATTACGGAGACAGTGAATAAAATTCGAATGACTGCCGTCTGATTGAAAAAAGCAAAGTTTGCATTCAGAAACCTTGCAACGGTACGGCGACAATAAAGATGCAAAGGCAAAAGTTGGATCAGCACATATGGCTTCGGCGTATACTGTGAACCTGTTCCTGTTCCAGGCGTTCCGCTAGTGAAACAATGTGCGATGGTAAACAGCTCTATCCAGCTCTATACTGAGTAGCAAGGGAGGTCGGGACACGTGACGTAACTTTTCCCCGCCCTGACTCGACACAAGGCTCCCTCAACTTTTCACCCTTACGCTGGGATTTTCTAATTGAAGGCCTGGAACACGCTACGTATTTTGTATATTGTAAAGTGAATATAACGCTATGTAAATAATACATTCATATTTCATTGAGTATGTGCTTGTTGCGGTTTCATGCCTGACTGATACATTGCAAGATAAGCCGAAATATTTCATCTTATATTTTTATTTTCTATTTTCCGGCTTTCTGATTTTCTTCGGAATATCTTCAAACAGGCGTTTACGTGTTCTTCGGAAACTGTGCAAACAAACACCTACGTAGATTTGAGAAAATTCTTCCTTGCTAATTTCTGTTGTAGAACTTTTCATACAATAGCATAAGAATTGTTGAATGCAATGAGCAAGTTAAAGAAAATTCCAGACAAACATCGAATGACTCACAGCAAAATGAGAGTGGTTATTTACCTCTTTGTGTGGAAGACTTCCCTATGGAAACTTTTTCACAAAACAGTCAGGAGATAGAAGGCCTCGAGGCACCGGTCATTATTAATTGCCGGGGGAGTGTGATAGGGAGACCAGTCATCAAATTATCACCCCCCCCAGGTGATAGTTGATGACTAGTCTCTAAACCACAGGAGACTAGATTCTTCTGCTGAGACAAAGGCCAGGTTACAGACTGAACGAATATTCACGAAAAAAGTTAAAGCAATATTCTAAAAAGCAAATTGGATGAAGATGCTGTTATTTTGTGAAAAGCAAAGTTTTATCTCCAAATCTTCGCATTAAATGCTGGGTTGTAATATGCATATCACTTTTGCTGTCACTACAGAAATGATTTATTGTTTGAATATGTTTGTTCTATTAATTCTTGGAAGAGATGGCCACTCGATTTGGAAGAAAAGTATGTTTTTAGGTAACACTGAAAGATTTTTCAATTAGGATCTCTCCGGGATATTCCCTCTTCTTCAGCGTGGTTCTCAAGGATCAGCCGAGAATTGAATGAAATTTACCCTTCCCGATAATAATAAAAAACTTTTTTACGTTCACACTTAAACATATTTTCCACTGCTATTGTCTTACTTGACGCCTCTCCCTACTCGTTCTTTGTAATATGCTACCCTTCTTAAAGTTCAATACAAACAACGGTGGTCGAAGCTAGTCCAAAATGCTCTAGGTATTTTTTCTTAAAAGTCAAATTTATTCAAAAGAAACTAAGACAAAAAAAGAACAAATGCCAAACATTGTTATCATAAGAACACTACTTGTGCGAGTAAATGTCGACATTAACAGCTGTTGGGACGAGTTATCACATTTCAGTTCCACTAATGAAAATCTAACTTGTAAGTAACGTCTTTCTTTGTGACAACGGTACAGACGTAAGAGGGACAAATTGGTTTATTAGATGTGTGTGTTCTCAAGCTCGAATTTTCGTTTTCTTCGTAGCTGGAGATTGTTCAAAACAAACTGGTACGTGACATTAGCCTGAATTGTTTGATAAACATCACCTTGCAAGTTAAACAGTGAAGGATCGGGAACCTTCGTAATGATAAGTCACGGTTTTAGACCTTACTTCACCCGCTGGGTTTGGATCGAAAACTGAAGTAAAAACAAGCAAAAATGAGCAAATGCGAATACTTTCCACTAATTCTAACATCAATTACAATGCCGAGGCTCAAATAATTATCAAATAGACTAATATCGTCTTAGGTAGACTTTGCTTACAATTATTTTTAATATATCATCACTGCATTTGAGTCAGTCCTTTAAAAACGGTACATTTTCTCCTCGGTTGACCATAGCTTCAAACGAATCATGCTCAAATAACAATCCTTGCATCATCTCAAGCGTGTTCGTAACTATAGTTTTCTTCTCTAGCGTCTAGTAGCATGTAATAAATGAATAATGTATCACTGACAGAAGAAAAATAATCAAATTCATTCATCCCCTCTCGTAAATTCAGAAAAACACGTTAAAAACAACCAAGTGAAAACCGAGAGAAGATGGTCTCCAAAATAAGATAG